TTCTCTAATACCCATAACAGGACAAAAAAAAAGGCAGGGCCTGAAATTTAGATGCCAGTTATACCAACCTTAAGGATCATGTTTCTGACCCCATTATTACTGTCCTACTTATTGTCTCTAACCTATGATAACCTTACGACATTTCAATTTTTTTCTAAATGCATTGCAGCTTTATCTTAAATTAGCCTAATCCAACACAATTTGAGTAATTCTAAAATTTATTCCTTTGTCAATAGCAACTCAAAGCCAAAAGACACATTTTTAAAAATGCACACAAACTTTGGCCATAAAAATTCAAGAGGAAATGTATCAATTTAGCCTAAACTTTTTAAAAGAAATCCTCTCCTGTATAAAATTATGGCATTAACCTGAGAACTTGCTCAACCAGTTTTTACTTTACTGCATTTTATCCACACTTGTGCATATGGAAGAAGAAAACCGTCACGACTGACATTTGAAACCATTATAAAAAACAATGTCTTTTACTAAAGTAAATGCAGGGATCCCTCTGGAGCTGATCCTTAAGGCATCTTTAAGATACACAACAGTGCAATTTACAATTCACCCTACCTAACTTTACCATAGAGCCATGGTATTCTTTCCACTTTTAAAACAAAATATTAACCTTGTAAAACACATTTAAGCAAGATTTTGAAAGAAAACCACCCTTGGTCCCCAAGGATACTATTTTGTATTCCCTAGGATACTATTTTGTTTCATAATGCTTAGGTTAAGAGAGTTGAACTCCGCTGACATTAAATGAATGATAAAAATATTAAGACAAAGTATTTGGGATTCAACTGTCACAAGGCTACTGCTTACAAATAATCTCTGCAACAGCTTTCCCATGGCTTAAGTTACTACAGCTTATAAAATGCTGAAAAACACACAACCCTCTTTTACCTTCAAGTCTTTTCCAGAGTTACTGATTAAGAATACCATTTTACTGACAAAAATTCAAATAAAATAAACTACACTTCCCATACTTAAAGATATAAAATTTTTTATGACTTGATTTCCTCACTAACTGGTTTCTTTTCCTTTTTCTTTACCCTTGTAGTTCCTTGAAAACCATCCCAACACAATCTTTTCTTGAGACACTGCTAGGTGACTAACAATTTAAAATTGATTCAAGCAGTAGAGCGCCTGCTTTGCAAGTGTGAAGGCTGAAATTCAAACCCCAATTCCCCCAAAAAATAAACAAATAAAGGATAGCCAGAAGCTTTATCCTTATCTCAAAAAACAAGCCCATGGGCTTGATAATGGCTCAAGTGGTAGAGTACCTACCTAGCAAGTGCAAGGCCCTGAGTTCAATCCCCAGGACCACCAAAAAAAAAAAAAAGGTATAAATAAATAAGCCGGGCCTGACAGTTCACACCTCTAAATCTCAGCTCTGCAGCAGATGGAGAAGAATCATCAGTCCTGGCAAAAGCCCAAGACCTCATCAGAAAAACAAACTAAAACATAAAGGGCTTAGGGCACGGTCTAAGTGGTACAGTGCCTGAGCACAAGTCCGAGTTTAAACCCCATACCAACAAAAAAAAAAAAGGAAAGAAAGTGATATATAAATACAAACATTGTCATTTCAAATACCTACAAAATCATTTCAAATACCTACAAAAGAGATAAAGAAATTGTTTTGTAAATGTATCAGCTCTTTAGAAAAATCTTAAATTAACCATGTCCCAAAATCCTGAAAATACATTTTATCCACTAGTCAGAGACCCATTTAAGCAGTATTAGTTTCATGTGCATGAAATTTATAATTTTTTTTTAATGAGAAAGTCCAAATTTGTTCCAGAATAAATCCCCTAATGGGAAGGAAAATTTATTTGCAAAATCCTCCATCTAGAAATACCTTTTCTAGTAAGCCATCTCTTTATACATGACAATTTTTGAAAATAAGAAAAAGAGCTATATACATGTGTATCTCTAGATTACTAAATGGTAATAGTTTAGACTTGTACTAAGTATGTCAGAAGGACTTCCAAAGGATCTGGATAAAACCCTTACAAATGAATGTTTCAGACTAGTCCTGAAATTCAGGAAATCAACACTTCAAATGCTCCTAATGACTGGCAGAAGTACTCATGAAACATCCAGCAGCCGGCTGGCAAAAAACAGGAAAACACAACAAAAGAAAAAGCTTTCCTGTTTCAGCAGACCACAGGAAAAAAATCCAGAAGAATCAAAAGCTAGATGCCAAAGAAAATGAAGGGAAGTAAATGGAAAAGGCCATTTCCTTCTACAATGTGACCACTATAGACATGGCATGCTACCTAAGAACCTTCATACTGATGCTCTTGGAGTCACAATCCACCCTACACTGTTCACACCTACAGAGGTTAACTATCTGCAGACACACCAGATGACTGGCTATGCTTCTGGGCAACAGTAGCAATCACACATTCCTGAAAGTTGGGTGTCAACCATTTGTCGAGCTTCATTTATTTCTAACACCAACCCAAAAGGCCATTATCCCATTTACAGATGATTAAACTTATAGGCTGAGAAAGCTTAGGAGCACTGCACTGTCAGATTTTTAGGATAGAGAAAAATTGCCTGTCTCTTTCTACACTGGCTCCTAGCTTCTTAGTACAACCCTAACTTTTTCCTCTATGTTTAAAGCATTAACACTACAGAAAATTCCTTACTTCACTCATGATTTAGTAATACAACTTTATCCAGAGCATTTGACCATTACTGTTCCTCCTGCCAACAATCAGTAGTCATACAACATTAATGGCAGGTGGCATAGTAGTATGTATGTATCAAATGGTGGGCTAGCCATTTATAGTGAACATTTATTGAACATTTACTGTGTGCTACATACTATTCTAAATGCTTACAACCACCTCATAGGTGGGTTCTATCATTACTCTTATTTTTATAGATGAAGAAATTGAAGCACAGAAAGCTTTAATAATTTTCACAAGGCCGAATAATGGTAAGTGGAGATCCAGCAAATTGCCTGGCTCGACAACCCAGGCTCTTAAAACTCGATCCTTCCTCTCTCCCAAGAAATTTATATAAGGTTTCTCATTTACTCCTCTCAACTTTATGATGAATGTTATGGATCCCAATTAGTAGATGAGGAAACAGGCTCAAAAAGATGAAGCAATTTTCCCTTAGTCACACAGCTTTAAGTAACTTAAGGCAAGATGTGAATATATTTTTGCTTCACACTTCCAAGCTGTTAATACACCAGGTCAAAGGAAGGTTAAAGCTATAAAAAGGCAAGAATATCAATCTATGTATTTTAAAATAGTCAATTGCTTTTGAAAATGTCTGGGCTATCTACAAGTTCTAAAAGAATCTTTAAAATATTTTAAAAAGGAAAAGAAACATTGTAATAGTTGAGAGATTGCCAAAAATAGCCTCTTGATGATCAAAAATAATGTGGCAGAAAGCTCCCCAAGTAGTTAAGTCTTGTGTCATTTTTTCATGAAGCCATATCACTCATATTTGGCCATACAGACACAAGCATGAACCACACTTCCATCTCACAACCACTTCCCACTTCAGTAGATAATGAGCTTCAGCTTCATTACTCATGCTCTTCTTCCAAGACATCAAAAAAACCAGCAGCCAAGAATCCTCCTACTTCAGGCTACCCTCTTAAATCTGGTAACACTCTGAAAATAAGAAGCTCACAAATATACATTAAGTTTTAGATGCTACTTAAAATGTTTCTACCAAGAAACACCTACATGAATGCATTTAATACTGTCTCCTGAAAAATAGATTTGCCTTTCTTAAATCTATAAACTAAAAGACAACAGGAAAAAAGGCTCAGAAAAGGGATTTTGCACACCACCAAAACATCACAGCTTTCAAATGCTATTTCTCTAGACCCAATTGGACAGCAAAACTCTTCTGCAGCTACACACTTTGGTATTTCAGAAAATGTCTTCCACCAGTTATCCATCCAGAGTAAAACTGGGCAATATAGTCATTCCCTACATATCCCCGAGGTCTCAGATAGCAAAACAGACAACTGCATCTTTAAGAAACATCTATTTTAAAATTACCAGTCGCACTTAGACAATCAAGCTTACATTCTCAACAATGGAAAAACAAATTAGAAGCAGCCAGCGCCTGCACTGCATCTCCTTTGTATCAGACACAGATTTTTAAAACCAAAAGATGAGAGGAATAACCATAATTTGTTAAGTATTTGTTTACACCATCTTTCAGCACAGTTAAAAAGGGGGGAAAAAAAAAAACTGATCACACACAAGCCAAAAGTCAGTCCAAGAATAAGCACAGGAAAAAAAACAAATCATTATTCAGAATTGTTCAATCATTTCTTTAAATACCAATACTGTGCAAGAGAAGCATTATTTTAATAAGGTCAAAAGAATCAAGTAGCATGTGAGTGATAATCTAATGTGTCCAAATGTAGCGTATGCCACGGACAAACAGGTTCCACTGTCAACCTCCTAAATAATGCTTTGAAATAGGGCGCAACTTTAAGAAGGCGATGACCTAATAATATTTCATTAAACTCAAGAGTGGGGCGGTGTTTCTTCCCCCCAAAGCTAGAAATAATTTTTAAAACATCACTTTCTTCCTTATAAATGAGGCCAGTCACACACCATATCAAGGCTTGATAAGCAAATATACAGAGAGATAATCTATCCCTTCCCATTTCCACTTTTCTTCGGGTGATTCCTTTCAAATAGCTCTTTAAACATGCACAGATGCCATCTAAAATGAAAACTTCCCTTCCATTCCCTAACTAAAGAAAACAGGAATTTCCCAGGAAAGCTGAACCAAGCTGTCACCCAGAGAACCTTAATCCCCGAAATGGCCCAGTCACCAAAATTAATTAATTAATTAATTAAAAATCCTCAGACACTCCCATGCAAAGAGAACCAAATAAATAAAAAAATCACAATAAAAAGGTGGAGGATGGGGGGAGAAGAAAGGCAACTTAAAAGCAAACCACCACACCCTCAACTCTGCGCAGCAACCCATCTACCAGGGGGGCCTTTTACCTTCATTTTCCATCGAAACTGCACTCGGGTTGATGGCTACAAAGTCTTTAGTGTCAGTCACGGCCACACTGGGAATAGAGAGGAGAGGAGGAGGAGGACAAGGAAGAGAAGCCCCCGGAATCCCAGGCTGTCACCCCCGCTCCCGGCCACACGTCCCACGGCTGCTGCCACCACCCCTAGCAGCAGCATCTGCAAGAGAAACCAGGAGAAGCGGCGCTGACGACAGAGAGGCTGCGGAGGGCGACCCCCCGCGCGACCGTGCCACCGCCGAGGAGTCTCCCGCCCCCCACCCCCCCACCCCAAGTCCGCCCCCAACGCCCCAGACTCACGCCGGCGGGGCGGCGCCCTAAAGCCAGGGTATCCCCCCACACACCCCACCCCACCCTCGGACGCCCTCTTCCCTCGGGACCTGGAAGTTTCTGGAACATGGGGTAAAAGATGAGACCCGTGCCCTCCCAATTCCCCAGATTCCCCCCTCCTCCGGGCTGCGAGGACTCACTCGCGGGGCTCGCGGGGCCGCCCCGCGCGCCTCGGGCAAAGAGGAGCTGCTCGCAAGCGCCGAGGCTGCTCGTGCGGTGAGAAGAGCGAGCAAGAGGGCGGGCGGGGAGGGGAAGGGAGAGGAGGTGAGGGGGGCCCGTCACCGTCGGCCCGGCCGGCTCCGCACGGCCGCGTTGGTCTGCTCCCGCCTCCGCCTCCCGCGCTCCGCCCCTCCCCGCCGCTGTCCGCCCCGGCGCGCCCCGCACTCCCCGGCCCGCCGCGGAGTGAGCTTTGTCGCTACTACTTCCGCTGCGTGAGGCGCGCGCAGGCGCAGTCCCACTCACGCGCGGCAAGGCGGAAGTGGCTGTGCACAGAGTGAACGCTGCGCGAGGCCCGGAGTTTTGCGGCTGGAGGACTCGTGTCGGGTTGGTGGCCTGACTCCCCACCCCCGCCACCTCCGTCCCGGCTTTGCTGTATCGGAGGGCTCCTCGCTGACACCCCACCCCCTCCCCCGAAACAGAGTCTGTCGGTTTTTACACAGCCCCTGGGCGCGAGGGTCGGAGGAACGCCCGTCCCCCGCGCCTGCCACGCTTTCCCGGCAGGCGGCCGGGGGAGCCAAGCCCGAGGGACCGGCACCATCATGGCCGCTATCCCACAGGCGTTTGAGCGCTCGCTACAAAGTCAACGGGGGAAGCACCTCCCGTCGGGCCGCCGTCACAATCTCGGCCGGCGATGCGGAGGGGTGTCCAGGGAAGGGCAAGCGGGGGACAGACGCCAGTGTACCAGTCAGGGGTCGGGACACCTGTCCCGGCTGCTTGGTTTTCCTTGCGAGAGCGGGCCGTGGTGGGGCGAGCCCCCAAAGTTGTGTCTGGGTAAGGGATGTGCTCTAGTGTCCGTAGGTCATGAAGGGGCAAGTTGAGGCCCAGGATTCCAGGAAGGACTCCTGACCGTTTTCAAAATTTGAGAGTGGGACCAGAGAGAGGCTGAAACGGCCACCAGACACCGTCGCCCAGCGATCGAGGCTGGAGAACTGGCATTAGCGTTGGCTACTAGGTGTGGCTTTTCCCCCACGTGAACCTCTCACTCAGCACTTCACAGAGACCATGGTATGTGCTTTTTGATGGATTGGAGAGCCAAACACAGGTAGCCATTTAACCGAAGTCTTCTAGCACCCATCTCCAGTAGAGGGCAGAGCTACATCTGCCTGGTCAGCTCTTGCGCATCCTCTGAAGAACCCCAAGCCAAGCTCCAAAGAAAAGTCTCCTACAAGCCAAAGGTGTTTTTCTCCATCAACACTGAACACCCATTGCAGATTTGCCTCTTATCTCAGGTCCTGTAACATCTCAATACACTCGCTAACCACACGTTCAACATAATGTAAATGAATCGGATTACCTGTCTAGTCCCCAGTGAATAAAGCTAGTCTGGACAGCTTCTAGTTCTACCGTTTTCCTTTTTTTTTTTTTTTTTTTTTTTTTTAAGAAATGTTGAGTTTTATTCAACAGGATCACTTTTCAAAAGTGCATTGTCAAGTGTATTTCTAATCCATTAAGAGTTAACTATGATCCACTTTGGCTCGCATGTTTCCTGGTTTTTGTCTGCCCAGTGGCGTAAGCCCATGATTTGTACAATGTGCTACCACTCTTAATCAGTGTTATAATTAATATGTAACTGTTAATAGTTATTATACTTACTGAACCTTGATACTAAAAACAGCATCAAAGGTAGGAAATTACATGATATAAAGATTATTTGACAATATATGGGTGTACAAAATAAAGAATAATTTCATTGTATAAAGGTAGTTTATTGAATTGCTTTAATTATCTAATGTGTGTGTGTGTGTGTGTGTGTGTGTGTGTGTGTGTGTGTGTGTGTGTTGCTAGGGATGGAACTAAGGCCCTCCCTTATTGCTAGGCAAGTGCTTTACCACTGAGCTTTACCCCTAGGCCATCTACAGCAACTTCAGAATTTTCTGTTGTATCCTGCCCTAGTATTAACACTCAATCTATAATTACATCAAATATTTATAGCATGTACAGTGCCTTCCACTAAAATTTTACTCTTTGGTTGCCTAAATTGTGAATGTCATTGTCCCTCTGGCCAAGCCAAAAAAGAAACTGGGTAAGGCCAACTTTACCCAGAAGAATTATTGTATACCTCATTGTTAATCCACTGTCAGTCACCTCAAATTTCTAGGCTTGGAGGCAAAGAGCCTGAAATGAGAGCTGATTCAACCATGTAGCCAATCCTTGCACCTCATCAACACACCTCTACAGAATGACTTTCTGTTATATTCCAGAACACCCCTCCCTCCAGGCTAGCCAACGTAACTTCAACAACTTTGACTTCCTCTGTATAGTAAAAATAGCATTAATTAACACTGTACAAGCCAGAGCAGTGGAAAGTGCTTGGGTCGCAAGCTTTGGAAATCCTCTCTCTTCTCTCAACATCTTCAGACCAAGGTAACCTGCCATGAATTTGTATAGCCACCACCACCACCTCATCCTGTGGGAAGGGGATTAATACAGGTGCACTGCAAATTAAATTATATATGTATATATACATATACATACACGCTGGATTTTTCCCTCATGATTATTGTAAGGATATTAAAAAGAAGATAGATAAGCTATAAGCAATATAAAAGTATATGATTATGATAACAGAGAAACAAAAACTGGACTGATAACTAGCTAGAATGAGATGGATGGCAATGAAATATGTCTGAGTTTTCACTTAGAAAATAATGCTCTACAGTCTTGGTTTTACTCCTTTTGTTCTGAATATTTAACTTATAAAATCAAATGCATCTGATGCAAAAAGTGGTTACAGAGCCTGGGATATAACTCAGTGGTAGAGCACTTGCTTAGTATTAGGAAGCCCTTGGTTTGAGGTCCAGCACCACAAAAAAAAAAGTGGTTAGTGAAACTTCTCTGGGGCAAATATCAATAATGGGTAAGCCTGACAGAATGGCTGAAGTGGTAAGAGCGCCTGCTTGAGCAAACTTGAGGCCCTGAGTTCAAACCCCATACCACCAGAAAAAAAAAATAATAATAATAGGGAAGATCAAGGAAGAATGGTCATGATAGGAAAAAATGGTCATAATGTTCTAACTATATTTACACTGTGCCTTAGTCCACAATGGATGTGAGCCATCTTGTTTTTAATATCAAATTCGATAGCTGAGATTTTTATAAACCTGGATATGCTCCTTTAAGATTTAGAAACTAAAACCCACAAAAGGTTATTTTTAAATATTTACTCAATTTCTTCTTTTAAACATTGAAATACCAGAGGTTAATAGTTAAGAAATTAAAACAAAACTAGTTAAGGAATTTCATCCAGCTCCTAGAAAAGAGATTTTCATTTTGTTTTGTTTGGGTGGGAGATTGATTCCAGGGCCTTCTGCATGCTAAGCATGCTCTTACCACTGAGTTATACATACACTCAGCCCCAGAAATTGTCATTTTATTGACCTTAGTTTTTAATATATACAGACAACACTTTTTTATAAGCTAATGTATTCCAACAGAACAACAGAAGTATTTTTTTTTTCTTACAGGATGAAGGGCGTGCTGTGTGATAAATACGGGGAAATACCTTCCTACTGCAAAAAATGTCATAGGGAACCAGGTCTAAGAACTCCCTGCCAGTCTGGCATGGTAGCGCATATCTATAATCTCAACTACTCATTCAGTTGGTTTTGATAGCAAAAGATCCCCAAGTACTCTGCAAATACTTTATCCCCCACAGAATTCCATCGCCTCCATAGTGAATATACACTTACTAGCATTCTAAACGTGAAATAGTTGGTGAAACTGAACAGAACAAATTAGAGAATTTAAAGTATAGTCTTTATTTTTAAAAAGTTTATACTGAGTATGACTCAGTTTCCTCATTCGACAAGTTCTGAAACTATAGTGTTATTTAGGACCATTAGTATACACTAATAGTTCTCTGGGTCAGAGATAAAGATGCAGGTGAAGATCAGAAAGGGAAGGAGAAAGAACGAAGTGAGCATGAGTCGCATACCCAAGAGTCACCCTGTTATTTCCATGAATGACAGACATACAGTATTCAAAATTATATAAACCCTAAGATTTGTTTTGAGATATAAATGTACCCATTTTAAAAGATACCATACTGGGAGCTAGAAGCATAAATCAGTGGTAGAACAAGTGCCTAGCAGGCATGAGGCCCTGGGTTCAATTCCTAGATTCAAAATGAAAATTAAAAAAAAAAAAATCCTGTCTTGTCTTGAAACTTGTATAACTTGTCTCTGTCCCCAAAACATTTAACTGAAGTAAGTGGGCAACCTGGAAAGGGTGAACTAGAACATGATCCCAACAGAAGCAATACTGAGCACTGCCCACAGTAGATAAAATTGCACACCCAAATTTTGTGCCCAGGTGACCATTTGAAATCAAAAGATAACAGTGTTGAGGTGGTTGCTTCCAGGTACAGATGAAATTTCAGCTCAGCCTCTGCTTTGGGTTTTGATGGCGTGCATGGCAATGCCTGACAAAACTGAAAGTACTATAATTTTTAGCAGTCTTCAGTCATTACCTAAGGGGTCAAGGAACCTACTCTTAATTCCTGAACAAGGCTGCTAGGAGGCTATTCATAAGCAATGGACCCTAGAATAACCAAGTAAGTGAAACTACAACTGGCCAGTATCCTCTACAAACTTTGAAAGCTTTGTTGAAGGTTTCTTTAAATGGTGATTGAAATGATGGGACAGATTTCATGTTCTGTTTTTAGCCCCGCCCCCCACCGCCAACTGGGTTTCCAGTTATTCCTAGGTCTCCTTCCTCCATTTAAATGCTTTCTCCAGAAATATTTTCAATCTTTCTTGATCCTATTAGACACTGGGGTCTGAGAGAGTTTTGAAAAGGTTGCATTTCCTCATACCTTCAAAATGGCACATTGTTCTCTGAAAAGTTTTCTACCAAAGCAAACTAGAAGTTTTGTTTTTTTTTTTTTTGCAAAGCTTGCATCTTTGCCTGAACTTGATTTCATGCCCCCTGCAGAAATCATCTCTCTCCACTGTGCTTCCCATTGTGAAAATAAATGAGAAAAATGGCACAAAAATGTCATTATGATAATAAATTAGATAGGGAAATACACGGCACAGAAATAGCCCAAGGCTCCCCTGAGGATCCTGAAGTTTAGCCCTAGCCCTAACCAATCATGCAACACTGTTACATCGATTGAGCATATTTCAAAATACAGACCCCCATGTCAAAGAGATGGTTTGCAAAATACTCAGTTTAGAAGGAGAAATTACAATCTG